AAAAAAAAAAAAAAAAAAAAAAACTTGGAAAAAGATTCTGGAACGAAAATAGATATGGATGGTCGACAGACGAAGTTTGAAACATTTCCTTCGCTTTCAGGGACCAGCCTTTTCGCAGTAGCCGCGCATGAATTTGGCCACTCACTTGGATTGGCACATAGCTCGGTTCCTGGTGCACTCATGTATCCCTGGTATCAAGGATTAAGCTCTAATTACGAGTTGCCGGAAGACGACAGACATGGGATACAGCAGATGTATGGTGAGTGAGTGTATATTGGATAATTGCGTTGAAAAGCAATAATTATTCTAATTTATTCTGTACTAATTTCTAAAATGAATAGTTCTTTTTCAAGAAATCAATATTTTTTTTTTTTTTTCATTATTTTTTCAGCCATGATCAAATTATAAATTTAAAAAGTAAAATATATTTTGTAAGTAAAATATGAAAAAAATTTTTTCTTAATATATATCAGTTAATGAAATAGTATACCTTGAATAGTAGCATTGATTACTAACTATTGATAGCACTAATGATCTAATTCATGTAGTCAATATGTATATATTAAATATTATTATCTTCTTAAAATTAGAAAGTTTAAAATTAAAGAAAAAACAAGTTTCAAAGGAATGGACATTATTGATGATATAATTTTAATCAATGAGAAATGAATTAGCAAATTAGAAGTTATTATGATCTTAGTATCAAGTTATGCATATAGAGAATATTTTCATTTCATTATTTTTCTAAGAGATATAAATACATTTCATTTCTTTCAACTTCTCAAATTTTTCAATCATCCTCTTTTTGGCAAAAACCTGGTGAGTGACATAATAACCTGGTTGTCAACATAATAAAAATCTCTGAAGTTGTTAGATTCCGCCAGTAAAATTAATTCCCGCATTTTCTGCATAATGAAGTATCGTGCATCTCAACATCAGCCTACCTGCATTGACGACAAGTCCCTCGCACTCTTTTTGCTGCTTAAGTGCACCTTTCTTGCTCACGTACCTTCTTGTTCTCCATTCTCAAATTCCATTTCTTTTATTCTGAAAATCTTTAAAAATGAAAATTAGATATTGTCTTAAAAATTTTTTAAAATTCTTTAAGAATATCTTATTAATTAATCAATTGAAATTCACAAGAAAAACAATTCAATTTGGTGGTTTTTATCTTTCTTCAAAAGAACAGAAAATACTCTTTTATTTTTGTTCTTTCAATAAATTGAAATTTTCCTGGATATACTTCCAATGCTGAAAAAGAATTTGCTTCCTGTGATACGTTTAATTTACTCCAACACCATACAGATGATTTACAATAACCCAGAGACCAGCAGTAAAACCTTTTAATATCGTTTCATCGCAATATTTCTAGAGGATAAAAAAATGTACCAAAAAATATATATATATATATATATTCACGCGTACGAGTTAACAAGATTGTTCTATCCTCTGTGCCTTTCTTCCATCCTCTCCCTCCATAAAAATTAGTTTTTTATTCGTTCTAGGGAAAACATGGTTAACACGGTATATTCCTAGGGAAAAATCTGAAAGGACCGAAAGGACATATTTATTCACAGGGGATAATTGAAGTTTGAAATATATATATGGCCAACCAACGAAATTCACAATAAATCGAGAAAACAATTTCGCGAAATAATCGTGACGGTGGAATGTAGAAGGATGTCCCCACAGTTAGTAACAACAGGGTGAAATGAAATGTGAATAAAATATAAAGGACGATCTCTACACCATACTCTTTCCTCTTTGCTTGCGATGCAAAACCGTATGTTCAGGTGATTTAGTGTACCAGAAAGGTTTGCAAGCCTCTCCGAGGATCGCAAATGCATTCCATCTATCCCCTCTCCTCCCTTCTGTTTTTGTCCACATTCCTCTTTCTCTCTTTCTCTCTTTTTCCCCCTCTTCTCTTTAAATGCATTTGTCCCGTTTCCTCTCTTATACAAAGCCAATTTCTTCTTTTATTTCTTTATTCCGTCTACCACCATTTTTATTCATCCCTGTAATTTTTTTTCTCTCCACACACTATCTCT